ATGAGGATCACAGAAATGGGTTTCGTTTTTGCTATGCTTTTATGGGAATGCAAAAAATGAATGAAAAAAAAACTTGACAAGAAAGGGCGATTTCAACCAGCCTGTCGGGCTCTGTTATAGCTGAGCGTTGAGCATGTATTGTCCATGAGGTGTTCCTCAACTACATCGAAAGGAGTGTAAAATAAAGCCAAAAAGGAAGTAAGTATCATGGCATGGAGAGAGGTAGTATTGAAGTTACTTCACGGATTCCCGCAGCAGCTCTCAAGTGGTCGACGGTTGGTGGAGTAGATAGTCCGGTGGGCTCTCGAGGCGCGAGGTAGTTCGTGGATCGGATCCGCTTGGGAGGTATTCTGTGGATCGGATCTGCTTGGTGATGAAACCTTTGCATTTTTCGGATACTTCATGCATTTTTCGGATTTCCCGTCTCCTTGTGCTCCTGCGTGCGTGATGATGTGTATAAAAGGATTTTGTCATTCACGGGCTCATTCTACACTAATAGTTCACGAGCTGGCCTGCTTAAGTATTGCGCTTTCGAAATACTATTGGAACTCCTGCTGGAAGTCGCGCCGGGAATTAATCTATGCCCTGATCACGAGTACGACACTCCACTCTTTTGATCGCGGCGTATCTTGTCGCCTGTTTGTTGCAGGAGCTTTCCTGCACTGAAATCGTTGTCAACACGCAATAGCTGTTTAACACCATGCTGTCGAATGGCCTCATCGCATAAAATAAATGTCAGAATCGTATAGGGCCATCACTTACCCCTATATACGAAGTTTCAGCAGAAACATTCTTAGGGAGTTCTGGTGATAATGGACCGACAACTTGTCGGCAGTGGTACCTGATCAGCGTGCCCAGCGGAATTGGTTCCTTAACTTTTCAGGTGTAGATATTGTGCAATACATGTATCTGTCCTTTTTAGAACTTGTGGTTGTTAATTATGAGTTCATGTACCAGTAAAAAGAAAGGTCCAGGTGTCGAAGTCGGACAATACTTCTACAAAAAATGCAGAGTCGACGAAGGTCTCATTTGCTATGTGCACTCAACATTAGAGATGAAAAAAAGCGAAAAGTGGCCCAAAATTGCTTTCAGGGAACTTTCACTCATTTTTTGGCATTCCCAGAAACGCATAGCAAAAACGAAACCCATTTTTGTGATCCTTATATGGACCCCTACAACATGCAACAAACCATTTCAAAAAAGCGCGCCACGACCCAAATGACTTCACTTTTTAGAGGAACTCGAATTTTGGATCTCTGAGAAGTTGCTGTTTTCTTCATCCCTTTCTGTGCTAACCGTGCGATCGCGCTGAACGTAAAGAAGACCAAAATCGTGAGCTCCGAAGAGTGCACCGCCCCGACCTGCTCGAGAACGCTTAAGGGCAAGGTGTACTAAGGCCTACAATGCTCTACGGCAGTGAGTGCTGGCCTATCTGCAAGAACCATGAAAGGCAGCTCCACTCAGCTGAAATGAGGATGCTGAGATGGGCCTGCGGCTGGACACGACTCGACAGAGTCAGAAACGAGGACGTCAGGGCGGTCACACAGACGGCTCCGATCCAGCTGAAGGCACGAGAGCAGCGACTGCGATGGTATGGGCACGTACTGAGAAGGCCTGAAGACCACCCAATAAGGAAGGCATTGGAATTCGAGGAGGAAGGAGCAACCACGAGAGCCTCAAAGAAAAGATGGAGGGACGTCATCAAGAGGGAACTCATTGATATGAATGCCACGCAGAAAGTGCAGTGGATCGGTACAGATAGCGACGTCTAACAAGAACAGCGAATTCTGCGACGACGCGGGCTAACACTAGGGAACAGAAGAAGAAATGTTGATCAGAGAAAAAGTGTGCCTAAATGCACACATAGTCGCACTGGAGACGACTAGACCCCTTCCACTGAATCAGCCTTTGTATTACAGTCTTCGAATAAATCGGTAGAGCATAAGTCCCGTAGCAATATCTAGAACCGCACCAGATCACATAGAGAAACTGAAGACCGTGCTTGACCTTTTTAGCTGCTTTTAGCCAGTGTAGATGATTCCACGGAGAGCAATTTTTGTTATTGACTTCTTCTTTCATTGAATTCTGAAAACATATTACGAAGCGCGCATTCCAGCGAATGAGTTTGCCCTGAAAAATGACTTTATTCTCCAAACGACATGACTGGAAACCGATCCGAAATACACGAAGTTTTGCGCAGAGATTCCGTAATCCTCGTCCAAAGACCTTTCAGCCGGTATACATTTCATCTCAAATGACCACTTCGACCTACCATCCTTCCCTTGTTAGATGTTTAGTGACGTAGCAAAGTGACTGTTTAGTCCAGTCCGTTTCCTGATCGACAGACCCTCTTGTTCGATGAGGGCTGAGAGAATCTGCCAGCAAGACAAACTAGTTAAAGTCTACAACACACTGAGTGGCACCGGTTGGAGAGAACTTTTGTAAAACATTACTTTCTCATGATTTTTTTCTCTAGTACGACCCTGCCCCTTCTCCACATCCATCTTACCTACTAACTTACCAAACTCCCCCTTTCGCTATTGCTTGTCCGGAGTTACAGTCCTGAAAGTGGCTTCACTATTTTCTCAAAGAACTGCCTTGAGGGGATAAATAGCATCAGTGGAAGAAGAAGAAGTAAGTAACACTTTCTCCTCTACCCATTGGGAAAAACAGCGCCTCAGTGCACAAGGAAGGTCTCGGTGATTTTTTTGATTCGGTACAAAACACAGCCTATTTGCTTTTCCTGAACTTTTCTCAATTTTTTTGCTTGTTTCTATGTTATTATGTTGTTTGCATTTGTCTGCATTTTGTTAATCTTTTTTATTCCTCGTTGTGCCGTCCCTAACTGAGTCTGCGTTCTCTGTCCAAAGCATACGGCTCACCCTAGGGTGCATGTTAGTAGATAAATAAATAAATAAACAAATATGTATATAAATAAGTACATAAATAAATAAATGAATAAATAAACGAAAAGATAATCTTTTTGAAGGCTAGTATGTTCTTTCCTCTTCCTCTAGCAACCAAGTACGACTTCTCGCTGGGGATGTCCACAACCCATCAAAATTCGTGTGCCTGAACGGGACCGCACATCTTCCATGAACGTGCGGTTTGCAAATAAAAGAAACCCATTCGTTTAGTTCAGTGGTAGGTTCAGATTGCCATCGTTTAGGACCCTGGATCTAGTCAGCATCTTGATTATTGGACTAGGTACCGGTGGCATAAAACCATGCGTTTCTGCTTTCGGAGGAGATCAGTTCCCTAGAAATGCTACAAGAATGCTGTCCATGTTTTTCTCGGTGTTCTACCTCACAGTTAATGCTGGTTCATGTATTTCTAGCTTCGTCACTCCTTTACTGAGAGGTGGGTTGAACTATACGTTTCTGTCTCATTCATGACAGTGATGCTTACCATAACGCGAGATATGGGCGAGGGAGTGGGGAGGGTATGGCCACACACTTCATCTGGGTCTGGCGTGCTATGCCGTTTTGGAACACTTGTTATCACATCTTCATCCAACACGAGCCAGAATGATTGTTTCTAAAACGAAAATATCCAACGATAATGCATACAGCGTCAAGTGATGTGTGCAGCCGCGCCCTCCCATCGCCGGTAGGAGGGTGCACACCCCAGGGCACAGCGTTCGATGGGAAATTCCCTATGGGGGGTCGTATTTGGCCGCCAAAGGGGGGGGGTCGTATTTGGGCTGGAAAAATTTATTTTTATATTTTTATAGTTGATTTTTCTCGCTTTGCGGACGTTGTTGGGGGGGGTCGTATTTCTGGCTAGGAGTTACGTGGTTCACTTCATGAGTTTTATGAATTTTCTGTGTTATAGGTACTATGTACGCCCGTACGATGTACGTCGCATGCCTACTACATACCCCCGCTCGACAACTTTTTCGCCGAGTATAAACCACAACCACAGTCAGCCATGTCAGCCATCGTACGAGCATGGGGGGGGTCGTACCAGCCCCTGAAAAAAAGGGGGGGGTCGTAAAAGCTCGACCAAAATCCCCATCGAATGCTGTGCCCTGGCACACCCTCCGTTCTAGCAGCAGTAAGTCTTTCTCGTGATTATTCTGACTGTGTGATTCTCCTGTGTAATATCTTACCAGACAGTTGCCTTAACTTATTCTGTGGCTTTCGCGGTACAGGCGAAAGCCACAGAATAAGTTAAGGCAACTGTCTGGTAAGATCTTACACAGGTTTTTGAGCAGAGCGGTATACAAACCGATCATAGCTGTATATAGATCACTCAGTTTCTACGTAAATTTTGCAATGGTTTCCAAGAGATCCCCTCAACTTACCTCGTACCCAACGACACAACCATGACTGTGGGGAGTCGCCCGTAAACTATCAAGAATATTGTCATCTTACCATCCGAGTAACTAGGTGGCTCAAGAGGAGAGTTCCTACCTACCACGCGGGAGACCTACTATCGATTCACCGATGAACCAAACTTTTGCGGGTGCCTGGATCTCTAGCGTTCTTGTCGCCCTTTCGGAGCGTATATAGTTCATGGGTTTGCAGGGCAGGATTTTCGAATGACAGAGAAAGGGACAGAAAAATTTTAGAAAGCCCTTACGTAGTCAGCACGAGCAGGTAGTCGAATATGCGGATATTTTTGTTCGTGAGAGCTATTTTACCTTTGCAAAGCTCACAGCGAAAGACATCCTGGCAATCAGCGACGACCATGATGATGATGATGACAGTCTTCTGTTGTTATGAGTATAGACTGATATGTGAGGCTGAAAACCCTTCTGAACTCCCGAGAACCCCATCCGAGCATACTGACTGCAAACTGCTTCCGAAGTGCAGTTTCCGACAAGAAATCGAACGAAGAGCGAGAATCAGATGCAAATCATGGGAATTTTAGTTATAATGAGTTCTATGAACAAGGCATCAGTTGACTATGGGAGAAAAAGGAATACATATGATTCCAAGCAAAAATAGTTTGAGCATTAATTTCAAGTATTTTTAAATTTGGCTCCGATTAACAGTATGTTTCAAGCACATTCATGCATGGGTCAGGACTCCTGCTTTCCTTTGGCTTTTGGTGTGCCAGCTAGCCTGATGGTTATAGCTATAGGTAGGTGTCTTCTGGTGATTATTGAGTAAGAACTGCAAATAAGAGCGTTTTAGTGATTTTTGCTGTTGGATCACCTTATTACGTGAAAAACCCACCGAAAGAGAATATCCTTGCAACTGTGTTCTCAGTGATAACAGTAAGATTGATGACCTTTTCTAGATGTTCGCCGCCGTTGGAGAACACCTTATGTTACTGACGTTCCTTCTCACAGAGCGCCATCCGCAATAGGTCTAACGCAACCGAACCCCAAGATCACTGGTTAGATTATGCCATGGTGGATCATGAGTGTGAAGATGATGAAAGATGTTGTAGACCTGAATACAGGAAGAAACGTCGATGCGCCAAGGTTAGTTACTATTTTGTTGAGATAGAAGCAGCACAAAATTTAAGTCTGAACAATCCCTGACAACACATGAGTGAATGCAGTTCATGAGCTTCAAACGTAAATATGAACTCATAGATGCTGCCTTACTTCCCAATGAAGGAAATGTGAGCAAATCCGTCGAGTATGCCCTGAATAATGTCTTCGCATTGAGCAAAAGGCGAACGAATGACGTTTAGGTTCATCCCAAGCAGAAATAATCGCAACGCCATGATTGAGGAGGCAGGGTGGATAGATAGCCCATTGACTAAGATCTACTAAATCGAAGCAACATTGACCGCGCCTGTAGTGCACCTAAAAGACAGCGCCGATCAATCAAGCTTCGCCATCTTGTGCTCGAAACCCTCAAGAGTTCAAGATGGCGGAGCCTGCGATCAGGAGGATGTACCATTCTCGCTGTTCAAAAGTTCTTAATAAAAGCACCACAGCTCAGCAACGATAGGCTGGTGAGGTCAACTAGTTGTTCCTCGATCATTTTTCATTACAAGGATTTGTTAGCGGTGATCATTGCTAATCTTGTCGAGTATGTCCTCGAGAAGAGTCGCTGCAAGTGGCGACTAAATTCAGAGAATTTGCCCAAAGTCTGATTAACTCGTCCGTTTTCAAATCCTTACATGAAGCTTATTTGAGATGTTTTCGACGTTTCTTTTTCATTTTTCCCCAGGTTCCTTTTTTCACCACGTGATTTATGATTCTGAGCCCCGCAACATGCGAAAGACGATCGCGGGCGCTGTTTTCGAGTCGCAAGACTAAACAACAAAAAAAGTGACAGCTACACACCACACCCCACTTCTCGTAAACGTCGTTGACGTCGTTGTTGTGCCCTGGCTGGCATATTTCGAACGCAGATGGGTATAGCAACTTCTACTGTGAGTGCGTGCCTTCGGAAATTGAGGCGGCACCCTCGGCCACTGTCGAGCTGAAACAATTGAATCAATCATTTGATATTTTTTCTGTTATGTTTCTTTCACTTCTCAATATACAAAAGATTTACTCATAGAAAGATGTTTACTGCATAAATTTGTACTTAACAGTGAGCTTTTTTCTTTCAGAAAAAACTCGTTGGAGACTTGAAAGGAGTATTACGTGTTGTTGTTATGCTTTTACCGGTTCCTATGTTCTGGGCACTATTCGAGCAACAGGTTCCTTTGGTTTAATTGTGAATGACATGTACCAAAAATTTTATCGCCCTATTTTATGAAGTTTCTAATTTTGTAAATCTGTGCGCAAGCGTGTCTGTCCTTCCGCAAAATGCCTCGCGGCGATATGGGGCAACGATCTCATCCTACTATACATGATACCCTGCCTATGTGTGCATGTGTGCGAGTCCCGAAATTCATAGCGCACATCCCAGTAGCAGTGAAACTTTGTTTCCAAGAAGTGATGTAGGGGCTGTGAAGGGAACATTATTTCTGGATGCCGGGAGCCTATATCAGGTGATAAGATCTGATAAGACGCGTCAAAAGGGGAGGATCACTAGGCCCATAGTGCAGGTCACAGCAAACAGTGGAACGTTAGCCCAAGATATGAAGAATATAGTGTGTGGAAATAAATAAAACAAGTATTATACAGAGTGTGCGACAGGAACATTAGTGGTGAGTGAAAACAACTGTTAGGAGTAAATGTTACTACTGACAAGATTCGATAAGGAGCGCTAGAAAGGTGAGCCAGCGTATCAAAGCGAGGATCACAACGTCAGCGAGAGGTCCGTTTGAGCAGGAGATATAGTGGTGAAATGGGGAATAAGATGGTGTGAGACAAAAAGTGATAACTGATCGGAGCCGTTAAGGGACGTAGCCGTTGTCGCCGCTGTTTAAGGCGGTGAAGCTCTTACACCACCAAATTATAGAGATCTGATGATAGGACAATGCTGGCCGATCTACATAGAGACTGTTGTCGCCAACTACGGCTCTCAATTGACCTCGGCACATTGACAGTAGCGTCTTATTCCACTTCAACGGCATACGCATGTTTCGGCGGAACGCCTCCATCAGAGTCCGAGAAGAAACGATTTGTGACTATCCAACCAAACGTCTCTGCAGTCCTACTAATGTTGAACACCAAAAAAGGTCATCATCTAGTCACGATGAAGACCACCCACCGAACCGATTCCGATCCTCGAGACCAATGGGAAGCTGACTTTGAGGCAAGTTGGAACGTTATTCATTCAGGGCCTCTTGTGGAAGGTCCGCCTTATATAGGAACTCAGTTTCCGCGCAATAGTGAGATATGCTTCCCTCTGGCTAAATTTTGGATCGATGACTTGGACCCGAAATGCCTCGAGGTCGAAGTCCGTCGATTGAAATGCCTCGCGAAAATTCCTGCCTCTCGTACGAGGACCTCAACTGCTGCCACAATGCGTTCCCCTGGTGTATTTGAACTTCAGGCTCCCATGGCAGTTGACAAGAGTGACCTATTTTGGTCCTCCAGATGCCCTTTCACCCTCACGCTAACTTACGCGGTGTATCGCCTGAATGTTTATCCCCACAGCTACGACATCTGATCTTATAGAATAGAGGATAGGAATGGTTTACGGTAGGTGGTCTTCCTCGTTACTGGGTGATGGACTGTTCTGGTGTGTCAGTTCAGTACGGCTGCAGAGACAGTCAGTCGATAGTCACAGTCGCTTTGATCCTTTCAGGCTCTGATGAAGGCGGTTTGCCGAAAAGTAAGGGATAAAGTTTTCTACCAACATCGCGGAGCTCAACAAGAGAGGACCTACAATCGCAGCAGTGCTCCAATACTATAGACGGGAACGCGTCCATAGACGAGCATCGATCGGCGCCACCTGCTGCTTCTTTCAGAAGCTGTCGGAGAATAGAGGGGTGCTACTTGCCTAATCACACTGTCTTGTATCAGGCGGCGTCGGTCTCTAATGATCCTGAGAGAACAGAGGAACACTGGGGTACAATAGTAAGTGATTAGACGAATCGAGCCTCCCTTTCTCGAATGCTCTACCAATGCATTAGTGGCCATCAACAGCCGATACCCTCTAAGGATGCTTTCCGGTCGAAATTATTCAAGCGGTATCATTCCCAACGGTAGCGCATCGTCACGCATTGCAGCGCTTCATCAGAGTTTTAACGTGCCTAACATCACAACAAACTGATGGCGGAAGTTCTACTTTTCCATTGACGGCTGCTTCGTCACACAATTCTCACAACCACTGTATACTTCTTGGATGGCGCCGTGCTCCGTTGTAGCGCTAGGCCTTTCCAGCAGCCACTGAAATGAATTAGATTCCTAGCTTAATAGGAGACAAAACAAAGTCTTAGCTCAAACGATGCAAGACGCGAGCTCTTAGCTTTGGAGCCACGCAACGAGCACTCAGAAGGGCTCACGTCAACACTCCATTCAGAACAAACGTGATCACCAAAAACTCGTCCGGGAGATCCCGTAGCACTTTGAATCAGCATAGTTGTTGTAATCAGCTTTTGAGGCTATCGGTGCATCTAGGGATCTACTCAGTGTTCCAAGGAAAGTTGAAACCATTCCATTGTCTTTTCTTCTTCTTCTTTAGCGTTTGTCCCGCTCAGCGGCGGGGTCCGCTCTTCTAATGTGACGACGCCACTTTTCCCGGTCAAATGCCTGATCGGGGTGAATTCCGGCTATTTTCAAGTCTGTATGCAACGTCGAGCCAGCGTTGTCTGGGACGTCCCCTAGGTCGCTTTCCGGGCACCTCAAGCTGAAGGCCAGTCTTACAGACGGTGTCAGCCTTTGCGCGAAGTACGTGGCCGTACCGAAGGCGCGTTTCTCGCATTTTGTCAGCTATAGGAGCTACGCCGAACTTCTTGCGTATTACTTCGTTACAAATGCGGTCCAAACGCGTGACGCCCGCAGTCCAACGCAACATTCTCGTCTCCATCACACTTAGACGGGCTTCGACTTCTTTGGTAGCGGGCCAGCACTCGGCGCCATATAGGGCGACTGGTCGAACGACACTTCTGTAGATCTTCGACTTTAGCCGTTCTGACATCTTCCTGTCGCAGAGGATCCCCGACATGCATCGCCATTTTGCCCACGCTGCACTCACCCGTGCGCTCACCTCCGCTTTGAGATCTCCATCGGACGTAATTGCTGATCCCAAATACTTGAATGTTTTTGTGCGCGTGAGCTCAGTGCCATCGATTTTAATGGAGCCCGTCTCGGCTGGGTCGGTTGTCAGGTACTCGGTCTTATTCACGTTTAACCTGAGCCCAAACTTTGCCAGGCGATCAGCCCAAGCTTGCACTTGCTGCTCCAGCGTGCTTTTGTCTTCGCATGCAAGCATCACATCATCAGCGTAAAGGAGCGTCCAAGGAATTTCCTTCTGAAGGTCTCGTGTGATGGCATCCATGACGATAACAAAAAGTAGTGGAGAGAGAGCGGAGCCTTGATGTACCCCAACGGTGATGGGAAACTCCATCGAGGTGCCTGCAAGAGTCCGCACTTGGCTCTCTGGCTTTGAATAAAGGATGCGGACCCACTCGATTAGCTCTTCAGGGACACCGTGTTGTCGCAAGGCGTACCATATAACGTCTCGCGGGACGCGATCAAATGCCTTTTCTAGATCTAGGAAGGCTACATGCACAGGCTTTTGCTTCTCACGATGTTTCTCAAGCAAAAGGCGAGCAGCGTGAATGGCGTCGATGGTGCTACAGCCAGTTACGAAGCCACACTGGTTGGAAGAGAGCTGGACGATGTCACGAATACGGCCATCAACAATTCGCTCAAAGATTTTCATAGTGTGCGAGAAGCGAACTGGACGGTAGTTCGAGCAATCTGCTGGACTGCCCTTCTTCTTCCAAATCGGAACCGTCGTGCTTTGCAACCAGTCCTTGGGCACCTTCTTCTCTGCAGTGATCTGGTTGAAAAGCTTTGTCAACCATTCTGCGGAGTACCACTGCTGTGACTTCCATAAGTCCGCTGCTAGGTCGTCGGGACCTGTAGCTTTACCAGCCTTCATCTTCTTCAGAGCCGCTTCTGTCTCCTCAACGGAAATCTTCCGAAGGGGGCCGTATATTGGTGCCGCAGAGGGGATAAGCGGATGGGTAAATTCCTTTGTCGAGATCTTCTCGAAATAGTCGTGCCATCGCTGCAATACCCTCTTTCGGTTCATCAGAAGATGGCCATCCTCGTCATTGATGCCAAAAAACTTTTCTATGTCTTCGGTTTGGCGGTGACGAGACTTGGCAAGTCGGTACAAGTGCCGCTCACGTCGCGAGTCTCAAGTTTCTTGCTGACATCGTCAAAATGAGCGGCCTTCACTACGGCGACCGCCTTCTTTGCCGCAGTCCTCGCTTCCTGGTACTTCCGCCAGTTGCCAGCCGTCTTGTTCCCAAGAAACACGTGATAAAGTTTCTTTTTCGCTCGAACCTTCGCCTGGACGTCATCCGTCCAAAGCCAAGGCTGCTTGTCAATCCTACGCCGCCCAGGCTTAGTCGTGCCGAGTTCTGAGCGAGCGGCGTGGATTATCGATTCAACGGCTTTGCTCCAAGTTTCTTCGACAGTCGTGACCTCCGGTAAGCGGATACGAGAAACCATGGCTGCCTCCCGCTCTTTCAGTCGCCACCATTTGATCCTCTCGAGGGCACACCGCTCGGTGTGTTTCGATCTGGGTGCTGTAAATTTCAGCGTGCAGATCAGCGGGCGGTGTTGTGGGGCAACTGTCTCGTACGGCACGACCTTAGCGTCTGTGACGAGTCCTTGATCGCCATGCCTGATAAGGACAAAGTCTATTTGTGTTTTGGAACTCCCGCTGTAGAAGGTGATGAGATGGGAGTCGCGTTTACGAAACTTTGTATTCAGGATGACGAGATTATGCATATCTGCATATTCAAGGACTCGCTCACCATCGGCGTTCCTTGATCCGTAGCCGAATCCACCGTGACAAGCATAGCCGTCTTTAGCAGCGCCCACGTGTCCATTTAGGTCGCCAGCAACAATGATACCGTCTCCTGGTGGTACTTCAGCCGTCTTCTCATTCAACAGAGCCCAGAAGTCGTCCTTGGATTGCTCGGAGCATCCAGTTTGCGGGGCATACGCAGAGAAGAAGTGGTATAGACGTTGGTCGCTAAAACGAACAACACTGGTAATCGAGTCACGGAAATCGGTTAGAAACGATTACAGCTACACCATTTTTAGTTCTCGGTCCACCACAAAGAACGGCTTTGAAGCCACGACCAATATCTCTCGACTGACAACCAGACCATCGTGTCTCCTGCACTGCGCAGAGATCGATTCTTCTGCGCTCCAGTGCTTCAGCCAACTCGAATGAGCGCCCTGTCAAGGTCCCAACGTTTAGCGTTGCAAGGCGAGCCTTCCAAACGTTGCCAGACTTTCGGACTAGCCTGGTTGCCCCCCGATGCCGTCCTTGCATCAGGGACCCTCGCATACTTTCCACACTCGCCGGGCCATACGAGTGCGCGTCGGCTCCCGCGGACGCCGTAGCATTATCTCGTGAATCATGTGGCATAGTTAAACATTGTGATGTGACATGGGGTGTTCGTAGGTCGGCCCGTCACGAAGGCCTGTCACCTGCCTCGAGTTTGTCCGTGTTCTGCAACCCGCAAAAGCGGGCAGTACCCGGTGGCACCACTTGGAAGAACGGACTTCACCACCTTGAACCATTCCCTTGTGAGCCGTGAAAAAGGGTTTTTCAATGGGGAATAAGTATAGTCTTCTCAGAGCATCTAATCAGCGTATGAAAAAATTGAATTACAACAAAAACAACAACAACAACAAGCAAAAGAGCAATATTAATGCCTTCCATATTTCTAAGATACCAGCTTCACATGGAACTCAACAACTAGCGATATGACTTAGCGCGGTGACTCAGCCGAGCGCAACGATTGACTCGCCATACAACAGCCGGAATCAAAACACCAACCCCGTCATCGCTGTCCGAAAGGAAATCTTCCACCTTATCCACTGGGCCATTCGATCGCTGTTGACAAATGTAGCTCCGAATGTTGAGGGGACCATTCTGAAAAACCATTCATTTTTGAACAGGTGACACAGGTAGTACTCCACTTGTGACTTTTTTTCACCTCGACTTGAGTAGCCCGTTCACAAGGTCTCCACTCCACTCAGCAACCGGTCAAAGTCAGTGATTTACTGCCAATAGAGGTTCATGAACAATGGATGCATGGGCTTTTTTCATTCCTTTTTCGTTGTCCCAGAAACGTTAAGAGGGAATGAACGTCAGTTCGGTAGTCCATGCACGTGTCCCTACATAATGCAAAAACCGTTTCCAACAAGGGCCCCACGTCCCTGGTGAGATCGTATATGAAGAACATAAAATCTCAAGCCACCTTGTATGCTTCCTAACCTATTATCCTATCTAGTCTTAATGGAACATTTCATGTTCACCTACACATAAAAAACAAAGCTGAGCAAGTTATTATACGTGATCAGTATGATTTCTAGCTGATACAGTCTCCAAGCTGATGTCAATTTCGTAATTACCTTGACTCAGGGATCTCGCTGGGTTATTCAAGCTCTCGCGATGGATGGTCAAATTACTTCTTGGTTTATCCTTTATCCAGATCAGATTCAAGTGGCTAATCCATTAATGATTATGATCTTCATACCAATATTCCAATTCTTGGTATATCCTTTTCTGGATAACAACGGAATGAAGACCACGTAAGTTTCCTCGCATTATTTGATTCCGGTGTAACTGATGTGTTTCCAGCTTGCTTCAACGCATGGCGATTGGTGGAATGACGGCGGCTTTTGCATTTGTAATGTGTGGCTTCGTACAACTTCGTGTCAATGTACTACCCTTTCTTTAATAGTGATCATTGCTGCTCTCAGCATCGGGGTAGTGGGTATCGCTCTTATGGTTAGCCACCACAAGCCTTCAAAGAAAAAACTGCGATCACTCAAAAGTTCTTATTCCATTCCCGAGACATCCCAGGACAGTTCAGACTTGGTTTTCTCATGTACACAGTCGTCATCCTGGCAGTTGGTTAGGCGGTCGTCAAAGGGTCGCAGACGCGGCTGCAGCAGCGACCGCGTACGTAGGAACTGTTGGCGGCGATCAGCTGTTTCCAGCCTGGTTTAGCCATTTTCTCCCTAATTTTCACTTTATCTTCTATTTTTTTTACGAGTTGTGTTTTTGTCTTTATGAATTATATAAGGACGTATACTTTTTTATTTTCGTCATGAAGTGTTTTTGCGACTTTTGGTATTCTTTTTATTGTTGTTTAATAAGTTATTGTTCGCAAAATTAGAGAAATCTCAATCATAATTTACCTTGTGAAGACAAGGAACAACTAACCTTGAGAAAAGCAGCCAAAAACAGTGAAAAGTAGGGAGAAAATGACTAAACCAGGCCGGAAACAGCTGATCGCCGCCAACAGTTCCTACGTACGCGGTCGCTGCTGCAGCCGCGTCTGCGACCCTTCGACGACCGCCTAATCAACTGCCAGGATGACAACTGTATAGCCAGGTATGCATGACGCTGCATGTCACAAAAATCATAGCTCGCGCCACAGGTTGTGGTGGTGAGTTAATCCAGTAGGTGATGGAAGAGAAACTGATAATGGTTGACAGGAAGTAACAACAGATGATAGGTGCTCAAACGGGGTGGGTTGACAAGGAAAACTCTGTTCTGTTTCTCTGCAATCGTGATACGATTGCTATTGCTCAACTATCCCTTCCAGTAATTGAAGCACGGGAGATAAGAGCGAAGCAGAGTATCTTCAAGACAAATCCCGCAGTTGCTTACTGTGGATAGTGGCATTATAAACCTATGGTCACTAAGTGACACTACAGGGAACTACAAAGTAGAAAATAATCATAAAAACAACGTAAAGATCCCCTGGCAGTCTCACAAGAGCACATCGTTGTTAAGGATTTCCCAGCAGCTGGGGTGGGGGTCGTATTTGATCATTAAGAGAGAGGCAGATCGTATTACCGACTCGATCAAAATCCCCAACTAATGATGTGCTGTGAGCCTCGCCGGACGAGTTCTCGGGGCCTGCTCGTTTTAGGCGAGAAAATCGATATTCCACCGCTTCGATTCACTAATCCTTTCTTCGCGTCATCGTATGGTGATCTGAAGAAAACACGAATAACTTGCTGTAAAAACCAAATATGTGACAGAATAAGCTTTCAGTTTTGGTGAGCGGGGCGGCTAGGGAGGAGTCAGTACTACCACTTCGTCGCTTCTTGTGAAGCAAAAGCGGGCCATTTTTAGGAAATGGGATCAGACTTCTTGTACAAAGAACGGCCCTTACGAAATGCATAGTGCGGAGACCGTCTTTAAGGGCGGAGAAGTTATAAGCCAAGTCTACTGCGGAAGTTTTTTCAGAAAACATTGCCAGACGCTCCAGGTTCAAGCGAGGCATTCGTTTCTGTAATAAATGCATTTCCCGATTCATCGTGTAATTTTGATCTCAATATTAACGAGTTTGGTACACGCAGAATCGTGGCTAACAATGTAAGTGCCCTACTGCGTTTGTTCTATTCATCAACAAATTTCCTGTCCACGGCAGCCGAACAATCGAAGAAATTATCTGCCTCTGATCTTATTTCAACTTTCAGTCTTTAATGGATGACAAAGATCGCGACATTATGAATGTGATAAGAATTGAACATGAGCCATCAATCAGTCGCAAATTTTCGTTTTCGAGGTGAGAAACACATAATTGCATCACTTCAGCGATTCTCAGTTGAGCGATCTCAGCCGTTACAAAATTGCAGTACCGATTCGAACTGCCCCACTCATTTCGAGATTGAGCCACGTTTCCGAAGGCGGTAAAAGCTACCTAATTGTACTTGCTCCTGGTGGTTGGGCAATTCTTACTAACGATTGGAAGAAGCCGCAAAAGGGACGAGGACAATTCGCTCTGAGGTTATCATACAACTTTTTATATGCTCCTCAGATCACTAACATTTTCGGTCTGCTGGGTGAGGTCAGAAAATATAGATTGTTTCAATGCGGTATATGCACAGTTGTACGCGTCCTGAGACAGTGATTCGAACTTGCTCTTAAAATTTGCGAAACGATTCTCAGAACAGAGTTGTAGAGGATTTTGTCACCGTTCATTTGACCGCGCGGCGTTGCGGGAGGCCGTGAAGCGTGCGACTTTCACACAAAACAGGTGTCGTCTCTTACTTGAGGTGAAGAACTCCTGAAGACGACAAGCAGGACCTTAGATTATTTTTTGTCAACCCTGAAAAAGCGGGCTGTAATGAATGAGAAGCAGCCAGCAATGGTGCTGAGTCTATCCTGTCAGAGACGACTAGTCTTTGAGTTAACTTAAAGGCAGTTGGCACGATAAATCGCTATACAGGTGTAGGATTTGTACAACTGGCTTAACAGAATTCCGTGACCTCGGACAGGCGCTGCGTGAAGCCTTTTCCAAGGAGGGTACCTCTATAACGCCCTATTGAGCAACAACTTTACGTCCCAAACGCCTTCCTTGCCCGCCCGCCCACAAACGGACGACCGTTTCTGACGCTCGTATTCATTCATTTGCTGAGCAAATTATGAAGCAAAGGGATTGGTATGAAGCGGCGGTGATGCTGCATGCATATATGGGTACACATATGCAGCCGTATCTTCGGTAGCGGTGATTGGCAAGATGCCTACGGGAAACTCGTCCGAAATCGATTTACAAGTCACTGAGAACGGAGGCTTTTTCTTCGCCGGATTTTGACCGTTTCACTCCGTTCTTTCGCCATTTCCCCACTATACAGCGCCCTACTAGCATTTTAGGCTAAGTAGGAAACCATCGTGCCAACTGCCTTCAACCCTCTGGTCATATTTCAAGAGTGCAGTGTCCGTTCTACGTATTCAATCGTCTGCATCACTTCTCTTGACAACCGAGAGAGGAACAGCCCAAGATCAGCCAACGATGGTAGCTGAGCACCCATTACCATAATACTCCTTTTTCTCTAAGTTTTTCTAGGTTACATAAAAACTTTAGAATTAGAATTTGACTAGAAGTTTGCCCCCAGGGTAATTTGACTAGAAGTTTGCCCCCGCACCGCAAAACTACTATTTCTCGTTTGATGGTTGATCGAACGTGTCTTTCCCCTCCCCTTGCTCAAAGACGAAATTTTTGGAAAGTCTTGCAAGATAGCTTGCAAGATAATGAGGGGAGTTGGAACAAAACGCAGAAATTCCGAGGAGGTGGGGGGAAATCGCGTTTAGGGATCATTCTGCAAAACCAGGATGTGCCCTGACCCTAACAGGAACTCCTTTGCAATTACCCTCTCTTAACTAAACGGATAACAATATCCGCATTCGCGATGGAGCCCACATTCCATGCTTGTACAAAATTTCTTACCTGTTTTGCCGTTGACGCCTTCCTCATTGCTGTTTCTTGTTTTTGGAATGACAGCTGTCAAGAAAAGACGCAATGATCCATCTGATTCCGACGCTACGACGTGCGAGTGCGAGGGGGATGAGTTTCTATGAGGCTGCTCACGGGAAAATTTAAGGACTGGAGTAGCAATAACGATAGTGCAGGACTTTAGCTTAATTCACCTCATCCCATGCGAAAAACGGAAAATTGGAAGCAGTTCTAACTGCACAGCTCCGAATATTATCATGTGCATGGAAAAGAAACATTCCGATGAAGCTTGCAACGTAGAGAATGAGTAAGGCTTTGCTTTCTATTAGCGTTTCCTACTGAAGTTTCAAAATTACCATAAGAGAGATTTTTCAAGCGATCTCTACACATGGACGACTCACGAATTTTCGAAGATACCGGTCCATAGTTACGATACGGGTCAAGTTCTCTTTGAGGCCGACGTACTCGATCGTAAAGATCTGCTAACTGGAACGTGAGTTACATGAGACTTACCAGCGGCTTGTTGCTGCAGTCTTCACCAAGGTACTCCATGCTTGCCATCTACCCATTTTACTTTTGGTTCTGTTTGAAATAGAAACAGAGTTGTCAACAAACTCATTTCTTAGTTGCTGGTCCTCACTGTCATTAGCTTGGTGGGTGCTGTTCCAGTAAGGGCACCATTTTGATGCAGTGGTGGCTGTAAGTCAGGGGACTCACAAATTTAGACCCAATAAGCAAATGAGAATACTGCTCAATCTTGACATTATGGTGTCCCGATGCCTCATGGAGTATCTGAATGCTGCAAATATAGTTAGAGGCTAGGAGTTAATAGAGCTTTCCTAGATTTCACAGTCCTTGTGCATTAATTATTTGGGGGGAGGGGCCTATTTGATTATTTAGAACCAGTCGGATCACCCGGCTGCCGCCGGGTGCTCCTCCTTCTGTTTCACGGCCCGGCTTCGCCGGGCCGACCTGGCTTCGCCAGGCACTCCTCCCTCGGGCGTGGTAGAATGCGCTAAATGTGCCAAACGGTGGCAGTTATTTTTTTATAAAATGTAGGAAAATGAGTTGAAAAAGCCGAACATCAGTCATTATCTACCAACATATGGTCCCTCTTGCTTACTACAGACTTTCAACCGTGAGAAGGCTGAGCCATATCATCAAGGACTGCAGTTGACATCAGAATGGGTAAAGTTGAATTAGTCCGGATGAGTCCTTAACACCCGGAAGAGGCATAACTGCAGGATCTTGGATGGCACTGAGAAGGAGAACTTCACATTGCTTGTACATGTCAAAGTACGACGGAGAGCTCGAATGTTACCACCGATGAAACGTCTCCACTCCCAAATGCTGGGTTCCTTCCTTATTTTGCTTCAGTTGCGAACTTCACCACCTAACACATCGTTGCACATCATATAACAGGCAGATTTCCGAAAATTTTTTGATTTGGTGAATTTCTCGATTTCACGTTTCAGCCGCACTATATACCCCCCCCCCCCTCCGCTCGACACCATTGCATGCATCTAAAAGCAAACACTTCACGCATGGACGACCTTGATTCTGTTGCCATCAAAGGAAAGGGTTCACACACTGAGCCTCTAATACTCGGCATTATAGCGGTAAGAAGTGATAAAAATGTAGCGCAGATGGTATCTTATCTGTTTTTATCGATTGATAAGATTACCTGTCACCCGTCATCAATGTCCTCATCACTAAATCTCATGATTTGGTAGCGTGAATACAGCGACAACGACTGCAACCTCCCTTATAAGCCCCTATCAGTAATTATCGCACTAGTCACCCACCGCTGATGTTCCCATCTCACCCTCAAATATCCCATGCTGAACGGACGCCTCGCTGATGCTGTCTCCCGGGTTATGAATATAATGACCTTTTCCTTCTGAAGCCCCTTATCGAGTCTTATCAGCAGCTCGCAGTTCTTGTCACAAAAAAATAATGTTCTTGGCCCGTACCCTATATCATATCTTAGAATCAAAAGCTAGTTGATGCTGTCTCCCGCGTTATGAATATGGTGACCTTCCCCTTCTGGAGCCCCTTATCAAATCTTATCAACTGATATCACTTCCTGTCACCCACCAATAGTGTTCCCGTCACACCCCTACATCACTTCTTGGAACCAATGTCTCACTGCTACTGGGACCGGCGCTATGAATTTCGTGACACACAGACAGACGCACACACACACACGCACGAGCATAGCGGATTATATACCATTTTCACTTTAAATTCACCACTTTTCAAACCAAATTCACCACTTTTCAAACCAAATTCACCACTTTTCAAAGCAAATTCACCACTTTTCAAACCAAATTCACCACTCTTCTTAGACCAGGCAGTTCACCAACCAAATCACGCCAGACACCACCGCGAACCCTGCCCCGACGGTCACGCCTACTTGTCAGCGCGGACATAGATTTTCAACACATGACTGACTATTAATTTCACATCCACTCTTCGCACAACGAAGGTACTCGTAGACGCGCATTCATGCACCGGCAATTTAGGCTCCGCCCCTTTGGCCACGCCCACTTGCTGTTTGCGGAATTATGATATTTTTTCGAAATTTTTGCATTTTTGGACTGCTCCATGAAGCCCCGCCCACTGTGAGAGGCTCCGCCCACTTTGAAGAAGCCCCGCCCACTTTTCAAAAATGGTGCAAGATCGGCAGTATAGAGCCATGGCTTGCATGGCAAGGGTATTGCTGGTCATTAGGAACAAACTTTGCCTGATTTATTTGTTCCGATGACGGAAGAGACCCCAGCATGCAAGCCAAGGCTCTCCGATTTGCACAATTTTTGGAAAGTGGCGGGGCTTCTTCAAAGTGGGCGGAGCCTCTCACAGTGGGCGGGGCTTCATGGAGCAGTCCAAAAATGCAAAAATTTTGAAAAATATCAAATTCCGCAAAAAGCAAGTGGGCGTGGCCAAAGGGGCGGAGCCTAAATTGCCGGTGCATGAATGCGCGTCTACGAGTACCTTCGTTGTGCGAAGAGTGGATGTGAAATTAAAAATTGAAAAAGTTATGAAGATTTGAAGTTCGCAACAAACTTTAAAGAATGGGCGGAGTCAGTCATGTGTTGAAAATCTATGTCCGCGCTGACAAGTAGGCGTGACCGTCGGGGCAGGGTTCGCGGTGGTGTCTGGCGTGATTTGGTTGGTGAACTGCCTGGTCTAAGAAGAGTGGTGAATTTGGTTTGAAAAGTGGTGAATTCGGTTTGAAAATGGTATATATAGTAGGATATTCAAATTTCGCCCCAAATTTCAAAAAAGGAGGTTCCAGGCAGGTAAACCAAACCCTTTGCGCGAGCGTTTTCTCGAAAGGGTCTCACAGCATAACAAATTTGCGCAAGGAGTGTTTCAAAGGCTTGCTCAGCGATTACGTAGAAATCCAGCTCCCTGCGTGGTGGATGTGTAGCAACAGAATCGTTCGGGCAGCTTTCGGGCGTGGCCTGCGACATGGGCGAGAAGACGAAGCGTGCTTCTGGCGGTTTGAATAGGGTTATTGAAGGGAAGGTAAATATTGATATCACCCAGGATCGAGTCTTGTGTTCAGTTACGGTTAAGTTTTCAGTTAGAGTATGAAAAAGTTCAATAGAGCACGAAATTCATTGGGGTCTTTAACATTTGCTCTGGTTTGTCATCTTTTACAGCAGCTCACAGAAAAACTTGGCCATCCGTCTATTATATTGACGCTGGCGACTGCGCAAATCATGTGAACCACATAAACATAGGGAGAATCACGGCCTTATCTGATTTCTTTTGTATCTGTTTATTTCCTGAAGTTGCGTTTATGGAACCGCCAAACAATTGTGTGTTACTATCAAAAAAAACATCATTAGATTTTCAATCATTGATGAAACCTGCTAAATGTTGCGGATGTACGCTGTAGTAAATCATTTGCTCCAGTCGCAAAGCTATCGGCTAGCAAATGCACGTAAGTGAGCTGCTGAGTCATTCGCCGCGCGACGCGCCGCGTGCCGCGGGCGCTGCCCCGGACGATTCTGTTGCACGCCTCCCTGCGCGGGCGCTTATTCTCGTCCGCTCTGACAGCGGTTTTTCGGGTGCAATCAAATGAAGAGGGCAGGCCTCAGTTACTCCCATTTGTCCGACCCACTTCCATTAGGCGTACTACCCTCCATCCTATATATTTGTAGGGCAAGCAACAATGATCAAGGGCCCGCCTAAGAACGTACAAATTCTCCTGAAAGGAAGAGCTGTTCCGAGCACCTGCGTTTCTGCTTCTCTTGTCTGCCGTTTTTTGGCATATTTCGTCAGCGCTACTTCAGCCCTTTGCGCGCGATTCACGGTCGCGAGTTCTGCCGATACCACAATTAACAATTCGCGGTTGCAGTTAGTGGTAGATAAGGAAAGTGAGCTGGATGAAGAGCTAGTCGACAGAAGTCGGTCCCGCGGAGACTTCCGGCCAATGACTGACTTAGTGCTCTTGGTACACATGGAGCTGTAAATGGGGATATCCTTCGATATTGGGGACCGGACTATTTGCACATTTAATGGACTTCTCTTACATGAAGTTAGTGGTGGAAAGGGTCTTTGATTGGACACTTACAATTTTGTCGGAATAGGGCGCGACAAGAGAATCGGCAAACACTATTTTGCTCAGTTCGGTTTCATCGCCTACTTATAAATTTTCAGATATGGAGTGAAATATCTAAACCGTCGCAACAGCGGCCCGGAAACGGTAAGTTCAGACATAGACTTGTGAGTGGATGTCACCTCCTAATCGCACTATGTACAAGACTCATCCTGTTTTCGAAAAAAGGGGGGTGTGCAGATGTTGCTGGGCTGATGTACGGTAAGGCACCTGAGTATTGGGAGGAGTCTTGCCATTCCCGCCCAGTGCTTGCCCGTGGCATGATCTCTCTTAATTGCCTGGGTTAACTAACCTGCTGACCTCTCACCAACAGCTTTCAATTAGAGCTTAGCAGTCTTATCATTGAAATATCTATCATTACCTTCATTATCACCCGTCACCAATGTTCCTATTACAGAACCATGACTTGGTAGTATAAAAGCTCAGCTCCAGTCAGTTGTTATCACGTTCTTTCACCCACCATTAACACTTTGACGACGATGTCAGACAATGGTGGGCGACAGCCAGTCTGTCTCGTGGGACGATGTCAGACAATGCTGTCTGACAGTATATTGCTCTGATAAGGATGTGCAAACAACCAAGTTTGTTCAAAACGTGTTCTAGGGATAGCTTGTCTCGAATATCACATATCTTGGCGCAAACTGCCTAGAGCCCGCGGCGCCACAGGCGCCGGTGCCAAAAAACCCCAAAGCACCGAATCTGCTAAAAACGTGAATAAATGGGTAGCTTGAGCGCTCGCTTGAACACGAATATGCCGCCCGCACCACCCCCGCGCATCGAAGCGCCCACAACCTAACTCCCGGCATGATAGACCAATTCGCGCTGAAACTTTTCTTCTAACGATCATAGTAGTCCGACCCCTGAAAACATGAATCTCGACCTACTGGCTCAACAGGCAGTTTTGTGCCAAATGTGATATTGTTCAGGAGGTCAAGCCAACCTTGCAGCAAGATTTTAGGCAGCTTTCAGACTTGTAGCGCTACAGCGTCGCGCTACAGCGTCGCGCTACAGCGTCGCGCTACAGCGTCGCGCTACAGTTGTACCGAACTCCAGCTTTTATGTTTTTTCTTTCTGTATTCAACCTCTTCTCTTTGTTTCTCATATTTATCTGATAGTGAGCTCCTGTTTTCTACTTTATCACATTTTAATGTAGTTTTTGATACAGAAGACTGTGATAATTGGTTTTATTTATCGTTTTTGACTTTAATTATTTGGTTTCACAGTTGCTTGATATTTGATGGCTTTGCTTGATGTCTTGCAGTGCTGCCTCGTGTTGATCCCGATTGCGAAATCCGGTTGTCGAGGCATACATAGCCAACAAAGCTTTGACAGTTTCTTGTACTTTTTTTGGCCTAGGAGCGTAAAAATGGCCTTATCTCCCACAACAGGCACGCGAACACTGTCTGGTCACCAATGCGTTAACACAAGGCAAACAAGAAGTTCCTTTATGGTTCTTCTGTCTAGAAGTTCCTTTATGGTTCTTCTGTCTCCGGTAAAAAAAACATGCGTGCGTGTTTTTAGGTGGCGCGAGTACTCTTTGGGTGTTTTTTGCAGAAAATGCTCTTAAAGGAAGAACCCGCGATTACTCGCCATCTCAGATGGTGGATTAGGGGGTTCCATATAGACGACAAGGGGTTGAGTAACTCGACTGTGAACAAAAAAAGCACAAAAAACATGCCACCTGCCCTAGATAGAACCCCATTTCGATCCCAGTTTGTACGTGCCCAATCAACTCTATCTCCAAAACTACGCCCTCATATGCACGGCTGATTCACCGATAAGATTTCTACGATCGTACAAGTGGCGATTATCATGCTTTTTCGTCCTGCAATCTCATTTTTCACTGGAAGTCGGTCATTAGGGGCGGAGTCTGGAGGCGGAGTCACTGGAAAAAAGGAGGAGCCACTGAACCTATATTGCGCTACAGCGCCCCTCCCATAGAATTTTTTGCCGCGAAACCGGTACAAGGTTGTTCGTCGCGGACCACTCTAACCTCCTGACGCCATATTTTCAACTTCGATACCTGATCGCGGACCGTGCCTTTAATAGGACAGAAGGACACTACGCTAAAAGCAGTACCAGAAAAATAGTGACTAATGGAGTAACTGTCAAGGATGGTCAGATAGTTACAGCTGTATCAGTCTCACCTTTCCGTGAATTTCTCAAGAAAACTCCAGCTCCAAACCAACTCCAGCAAGCAGCTTCCCACTTTTCTCTGTGTAAGCAACTCTAATCATCCTAACGTTGGAAATAGCAGTACGTTGCGAAGCGGCGCTGTAGCGCTACAAGTCTGAACGCTGCCTTAGCGAGAATGATCTGAAACACTTTGCCACCGCCGCGGGCGCCAGGATGATCTGAAACATCACGTAATTTCCGGAATCTTCGCATAGCGAATTCATATTCGGGGGGGCTAACTACCTCTGAACGCGAATCTTATGCAAAATCCGCCTCCACAGAAAAACTGGGTAAAAACTGGTGGATTTCGGAAAACTGAGGCAGTAAAAGGTAAATTGTGTCAAAGATTCCAAGATTCATATACTCGTCTCAGGCATTTCTTGACTCACTTCAATCAGAATCACCCATTCGTTTGGGAATTATCAAACGTCACGAAGAAAAAGTCGCCGTCCCACGCGCAAGTCACGAAGAAAATGGCTTGTCGTCAACGTGTTAATGTTCCATATCACTATACCCACTGTTGCAAGCAACTTGCTTCCACTGCTGGAACTTACCGGATTACATATGGGATACCATGAAGAGTGTTACTTTGTTATCAACGCGTCGATGAAAGTCTAGGCCTTCATAAAACTTTGCGAAGTTTGAACGCATGAGTGTACTTCCATTTTTATACTAGTTAAGCTTGATGAGATCTACATCCCTGCCTCATACCACACTCAACGTTTATTCTGAACGGGGCACGACTGTTTCGCTACTAACTTCCTGCATTCAGAACACTGAGTGATGGGACACTGACCCCCTTTTTTGCTTTGGCGCTAGTATTAGTTTGGATAATCCGAAGGTCCCAGCTGGACTGTTCTGGGTAGTTTTTCTCCTTTTTCTCTTTCATTGAACTGCTACCCTAGCATTGGTGTCCCAGTTAGAGTCCTACAACTCCCGATTTTTCATCACGGGATACGCCAAAATGCGTTACAGGATACCGGTTTCGACGACGAAACAGCTCGGGACTCCTCTCACTGCCCAAGTTCCATTTTCAGAGATCCTTTTAGGTAACCATGTAAATGAAAGCTAAACTAGTTGCTGATAATGCTTCTATCACCGTTATTTCCCTTGGACATCTGACGACTTCTTCCAGCATTCTGACATAACACCGGCCAAAAAAAAACTCCCAAGGGGAAGGTTGGAAAAACTTTCCGGGGAGCAGTCAACACTAACATATGAGAAGCGCGTGAATCAAATACTGTCAATCTTCAGGACAGGTGGGCAGCTGGACGGCGTTTCAATCACAGCATGACAAAATGGGAGGCGTATACGCGTATGGTCATCACAGGCAAAGATACAACTATGAGCGTAAAATTTCCTCTTCGATACGGCCATGACTAGGCTGCGTCATACTTTGCGTCGGAAGGAATTCGCACTCTGTTCATCAAAGGGCCACGCAGCACGCTGCACGCTAAATACCTTAGACCAGTGGGACTAATTTTAGGGTGGCGGGAAAGTTCTGTCACATTTTTTCAAACTAGGCTTTCTTTTTATAGAGAGGCGTACAAGATCAAAAGTATAGCAGGCATGTCATGCGCAATCTGCTGAAAGCTTTTCGAGCACTTCCTGGATGCCATCGCTTCACAATGGAGGCTGGGTCACGATGCAATGTCGGACATCATCTCAATGTTGACTTGGGCTCGAGTCGTGGAGGTTTTCTCGGCCATATAACGGTTATGTCCGAGAGGTAACTAGCAGTTAGAATGAGCAATGTCTGGGGTACACCGGTGCAGGGGGAGAGCCATCCAGCTCTTTTGCATGAAGTTCGGCTCGAACTTTTTTGGACAGAGGGGCTGCACCATCACGTTGAAGACGGACTGTGCGGACGAATTTTTCCCTCTGATCGACGATTCGCCTCAGCTCTCGTAGCTGCTTTGCATACGGATCGACCAAGGACGCAGCTTCTTCGTCCAGCAGTTTACCGACCCACAGCTCCCTCCTAAGTCACAGGTATATACCCAAACCTCACTTCGTCATTCAAAATGTAGGCTGCGGAACGTCCTTATGCAGCTCCATTATTTTGGCATCAACAGCTGTCATTCTGGCGCCAGGGCGGTAGAAGAAAGAGTTTGAGGAAGCGCTTGGAGGGGTCAGTGCCAAAGGTAGCGGATAACATTCTTGTTCATATTGCACAATAAGGAGAAGCAGGAGTCAAGCCAGTGATACCAATAGAAAGACCATTCTTTGATGTATAAGTGCTCACATTACCGGTTAACGCTCTTCAGGTAATTAGCAAATATTTTGGGTTCAAAAATATATGACAGAACTTTCCCGCCAACCTATACGTCTGGGGACAGAATTTAGCGCGCTTGTACAGTGCCTTTTCCAGCGCGCTTTTATAAGGGCCCTTCAAACTGCAAAATATTGACCCGGACAGCGCCTACCGCCCACAGATACCTGGTACTCGTACTGCTTCATTTCATTTCATCTCACTTCATCGTACAGTAATAATCTTCGGTTTCTACGATTTGCTTTGTTTTTCACCATTTTCTCCATGGCACCCTGCCAGCATTTTAGGCCGAGTACCAAACTGAGGCGCCGTAGGCTTTTAACCAGTCGGATCACCCAGCTGTCGCCGGGCTCTTCTCCTTCCTGTGTGCGGAGCCCGGCTTCGCTCAGCCAGGGCTCATCCTGTGGGCGAGTTACAGTGTGAAAGTCAAAAAGATCACAGGGTAATTACGAAAGAAAATACAGGGAGGAAAATGCAAAGAGCTTTGGATCAGCTACATACATCAAATACCTCTAGCTAATTCCTTCTCTTCGATCGTGATCGCCTCCAGACAACCATTCAATCGTCACCGTTGTAATGATACGACAATTTACTGAACTTGAGACAATGTGCATACAACGTCCTCTTATATCCGAAGGAGGCACAACTGTGGATCGTTAAGCGGCAGTACAAAAGCGATTCATTCTTGCATTATTCAGGTCAAGCGTGCATCACACCAGAAATGCGGAGCTCTTTATAGACAGCTATTACCGTCTGAGCAGCTCAGCATCACCTCTTCTATCAGTGAAGAACCACGCCTAACGCATTACCTATGTTCGGAACATAGCATTTGGCTTCTACGAAATTCTTCAAATTTTCCCGTTGCAGGCGCGCGGTGTACCCCTCCCCCCGCGGCTCGACATCCCGCACCTACGTATAAGTACAAGACAGATAGCCTCCGGATTTTGGTCTCCACAGAGCCAGCAGTATAGACTCAATAAATGTAGTGAAAATAACCTTTTTTCTATTCTCATCAATTGATGTCATTACTTGTCACCTGTCATCAAGATTTGCACCACTTAACCTTCATAATTAGGCATTGTGGAAGCTCTGCAGCCTCAAAGAGCGACGATGGCGACAGCGTCCCATATCAACACCAATCAGTTGTTCTATCTTCCCCTCACCTAAAAATAGTGTTCCTGACAAATCACCTATTTCACCTGTTGGAACTGACTAACTACTGTTCCTGCCTGGTATTAATTCGGCAACCCTGACCTTCTATAGTTATCGGATCTCATCAGTTGTGATAATGTGTCACCCAGACGGTGTTCTCGTCCCACACATACTATATCTTCTTCTGGAACTGACTTCCTACTGTTGCTGCCAGGCGTGGTTTCAGGTCGGCAACTCTCGCCTTCTATAGCCTCTTATCGGGTCTTATCAGCTGTGATAATGTTCTGTCACCTACCACTGGTGTTGTGGTCCCACATACTATACCTCCTACTGTAACTGGCTTCCTAGTGTTGATGGGACCCGCGCCTATGAATTCCCCTTTTCAAAGCGACTGGAGCATTTTGTGGACGGTAAACATACATGCAGGCCAACAACCCGACACACAAGCGTTTTAATATAGAACGATGTTTTTTCATGTTCCTGCTTCACAGCCCATCCCACGGAGTTGCCAAGTTCCTCTCCGTCTGACACACACACACACACACACACACACACACACACACACACACACACACACACACACACACACACACACACACACACACACACACACACACACACACACCACACACACACACACACACTTATCGGTTTATATACAGCACTACAACGAGACGGCTTCATTCACGATAAGTGCAAATGATATCAGAAAAGAAATGCATGAAAGAATGAGTTCACACAATTATCCTCTAGTAGCAATAGTTAGCGCTGATGTCGTATACCATCGTTCGACTAAGCGACTAAGTCTTAGGGAAAAATTGTAGGCTCACCTTCACGCCTCAATTACCTCTGACTGGGTGCCCGCTGCGGGGTTTTATGATTAAACAAGTGCTACACTTCAAGGATAGCGCGGCGGGAGTCGGGAAACGGCAGCCCCCTCCTCTCCAGCCGTTTGCATGCTTTTTGATGGGGGAAGTGGCACATTAGTTCAACTGCAAATACATTCACATTAGACATGGCAAGGACCGTCATCGGAGGTGGGTGTACATTTTCTATGAGCACGGAAGAAATCTTATTGGTGGAAGAGAATTACTGTGCTCCTGTGCTGCGACTGCCCTGTGAGTTCGGCTGGTAATTACCCTGACCCAGTGATAACTTTCACCATTGGTGTAGAGTGAGTAGTAGAAGAAACAATTTATAATGTTGATGAGTAGTAGAAGAAACAATTCATAATATTGATCAATCTTTTAATTCAAAATGATTTTAGTACAAGGAACAAGGAGATACCAGCCGTAGTGACCATGGATGGAGTAGAAAAACCGTGTTTCAGACTTTGACTACAACTGTGCACACGATCGCACATGAAAACAGGGTCAGTATACTTTGGCAGTTACCACAATACGCCGTTATAACTGTAGCCGAGATCCTCATCAGCGTGAGCGGACTTGAGTTCGCCTACCAAGAGGTGAGCTTCGAAGAGACACTGTAAAATTTTTTATCTATCATGGTTAGCTTGCACTCACTCAGGGGAGGTCATTCAGGTTATGGTGTGCTTTTCAGAAGTGGTATACTCCTTATCCCTGAGACGGGGTAGGCGTGGCATTCGAACATGGCACAGAACTGGTTACTCGTGGGATATTTCAATTTGAGACAACCGCCATCTTGTTCTTTGTTGGACAGAGACGTGACCACATTTGGGTCAAAATGAAAATATCTCTCCAAAAGCATAGCCACCACGACGTTTAGTTGAAGTACGCAGCCACGCCTACCTCATCTCAGGGATTTCGAGTGTATGTTGCATGTTGTAGGGGTTCCGTACCAGGACTTTGGAGAGTGGTATCATTTTTGCCATGCGTTTTTGGGAATGCAAAGAGAAGAATGAAGGAAATTCGGCGAGAGAGGGCGATTTTGACCATCTTAGTAGGCTCTACTGTAATTATAACATGCACATGCATGGTTTTGATTTGTGTTTTCCTCGATGAATGATCGACGAACGTCTCCTAAACTATGCATACTCAACATTAAAGTGAAAAAAGAGTCCAGTAACATGGCTCAAATTACTTCTCCGTGGCAAACTTTGACGCTCCTGGAGACGCATAGCAAGAATGAACCTAATTTTCTGATTGTTATAGGGCCCCTGTATCATGCAGTCAAACTTTTCTAAAGAGCGCTCCACGAATGTCCTCCTTTGTCAGGGTATCGTTGTGAGAAACCCATAGAGGGGATTATGTTCGGCCGACCGCTTGGGAGGAAGAGAGTTGTAAACGTAGGTTTGGTAAGCGCCCGAACAACGAAGTGTCATCAACAAATCTTCTGAGATTCAGTATGTTTTGTTATGCTCTCGAGGTTTTTGGTAGGAACGGTTCATTCTAGCGGCCTGACGTTTAGTCGTAATCGTCTTTTTCACAAACCTAAAAGTGTTTTGATTATTGAGATGTGTATTACCCCGCCAAGCGCCTAATCCACCCCAGCATTTCCGATGACATGGTTCTAACCCAAGCGAGAATCTCACGCAACAGGACCTACGACCTCTGTTACACCGCAGACGCGGAATAATCCGCTATACCCTATGTCAACCAGTAGCGAATGGGACTTACTATGGCGTCTCCTTATACGTATCGAAATACGGAGACGCACGTAGCACTGGTGACTTCACAGCTAGCAGTATGAATGGCAGAAGGTCATT